CTACACTTAGTTCTGGCCCAACTTATTAAGAAAAAATTAGATAATCTAGGTGCATCTAAAGGACAGCAACCAAGATAGTGACATCTGGAATACATGCAATATGAAGACTGATTGAAAGAGCTGTGGGTGTTTAACTGGGATAAAGGCAGTAGTCTGCAAACATCTGATGTACTATCATGTGAAAGATTTGTTTCGATTTGATATATCTAAGAGTTTTATGGATAGAATCTGTAACACTTGACAACTGATTGAATATGGCTGGGGTGGAGTGGAAAAAGTTAAAAATAATAATAATGATGGCTAAAATTTATATAGTATCTTCTATGTGCTAGGCACTTGGCTAAGAACTTTATAAATATCTCATTTGATCCTCACATACCCTGGAAGGGAGGTGCTATTATTATCCCCATTTTACAGATGAGAAAATTGAGGCAAACAGAGGTTAAGTAACATGCCCAGGATCACACGGCCAGTAAACGTCTGAGGCCAGATATGAATTTAACTCAGGTTTTCTTGACCTTCCATCCAAAGTTCCATCCACTGTGCAACTTAGCTGCCTGTTGACACTGTGCTAAGGGCACCAAATCCTTTAATACTGCAAAGTCTCCTAAATGAAATCCATAATCACTCAAAAAGTTTGGCCTAACTCCTCTTATAGGAAAAACCAAGCGGGCAGAGAAGGTCTGTGGTCCAAACCATGACACGCAGTTAAATAGCCATTGGGCTCTCTCTTCATCTCGGACAGTCCCTGAAAACACTAGGCTACGTTGCATTTGGGAGTTGTACAGTACTTTTAATGATCCTAAGATTACTCCTGAAATAAAGGCTCATCCTTTCAAAGCCACTTTCAGGGAAACTATATGACTATAAATTTTAGAATAGTACGTTTTCCAAAGAATTATTTACAATGGAAAGAACTATGGTAGGCACAAATAACATACTAAAAAATTGTACACAAGAAGCAATGCTCAAATATAACATTAATGTAAATAAAAGACACCTTACAATATATCCATTAGGATATACTATGCTTGAGACCATGGATTTTTCTTTTCTTTTCTTGGTATTCCCAACATACAGCACAGTAAATAATAAGGGCTTAGACAACGCTTGAAGACTGACTGATACCACATAAGAGATATATGAATAGAAAAGAAAGTAGGCCAGTTATGTAAGAAGAGCAAGGGGTAACATGATGGGAAGCCCATATCCTCCACCTGTACTTATTTATTGTCAAGAGATCTAGAGGATACACATAGAGGGTGAATTCTTAACCAAACAAGGGATAGAGTCAATTACAAAAGATAAAATAGAGCTAACTCTGATTATATGAAACTGAAACACTTCTGCACAAACAAAATTAATATATTTAGAATAAGAAGAAAAGTATTTAACTGGGAAAAATATCTTTGTATCAAACATCTTTGGTAAAGGTCTAATATCCAACACATAGACAATTAACAAAAATATAAAAGATCAAAAGCCATTCTTTAATAGGCAAGTGCTCAAATATATGAACAAACATTTCTCCAAAGAAATACAAATTATTAACAACCATACAAAAGAATGCTCCAGATCAAATGCAAATCAAAACTATCCTGAAGCTTCACTTTACACCCAGCAAATCAGCAAATATGACAAAAAATGAAAATGGTCAGTGTTGAATGGTTTGTGGAAAGACAGGCAGAGTGATGGATTATTGGTAGAGCTGTGAATTGTTACGGCCATTCTGGAAAGCAACCTTGAATTATGCAAAGAAAGTTATTAAAATGTCTGTTACTAGATGTTTGCATACCCCAAGGAGGTAAATGACAAAAAAATCTCCATTCCACTAAAATACTGATAGTAGCATTTTTGAGCTGGCAAAGAATTGTAAACCAAATAGATGACCATTGGCTGGAGAATGACTGAATAAGTTGTGGTAGATGAATGTAACAGAATATTATTGTGTTGTAAGAAACCATGGAACATGATGAATATAGAGAAGCATGGAAAGACTTACATAAAGTGTTACAAAGTAAGCAGAACCAGAAAAACAAGATACACAAAGACTACAATAATGTTAATGAAAATTACAATAATTGAAATTGGATGCTGTGAAATTATAACCAAGCTGTGCTCCATGAGAAGACACTTCCCTCTGCTGCTTTTAAAAATTAGATGTCCATAAAATATCAGACCTATTTGCTATGTTGCTTAGATTTGCAGAATTCTTTTTCCCTTCCTTTTCTCATTCTTTATTATAAAGGTTGGCTCTTTCAGGGGAAAAATATTGGTGGGAAACCTTGGTAATAGAAAAACAAGTCAGCAATAAAAATTTAATTAAAAGAAGTCCAGAAGGCCCCCAGCATGTTAAGTTGGCCCCTGTGAAAGACTTAAGGGAAGGCATAGATAAAGACTGCACAGAGTAAAGTATAGCTAGGTACAGTATGAACCAATGGAGTACTCACATCAATGAGATAATAGTGGCTAGCTAGCATTCAGATATATTAAGATACTACCCTCTTTCATAGATGAAGATGATGTTCCTTGAGAGCAAGGATTTTTTTGGGGGGTTGTTGTTGTTGCATCTTCAGCACTTAAAACAGTGCCTGGTTCACAGGAGAGAAGCTGGGGCTAAAAATACAGATTTAGCAGTCATTTAGAGATATGGTTGAATCTGATGAAGTAGAAACTACTAAGTATATAAGAAGGACATAAAGGAGAGGGATTACAAGGAAAGGGGCCTCAAACATCACTTTTAATTGCCTTCTAGCATCTCTGCCCTTACCATACTCATAATTATTTGTGTAGGATTTTTTCCAAAATAAGATTGCAAACCCTCGTGGTCAGTGTCCGAGTTCTATAATTTAAGACAGAGTTTTATGAGTTAAAAATGCTATTCTGTTAGAGGATGATTTACCCTAACAGGTACAAAGGTAAAAAAAATGCCTTTGAAAACAAGTACAGAAAGAACTAGAAAAATGCTATCAAACAAAAAAATGGGTAGTAAGAAAAGTATGTTGTATTTGGCAATTAGGTCATTTAGTGTCCTTTGTTATTTTGGTGACAAAGCAAGATTATAGCAGGTTGAAGAGGAAGCGGGTGGGTGTGGTTAAGAGGTAACACCCTTAGCCAAGTGAAAAAGTTAGGAATGCAACTAGAAGGAATAATACACTCAAAGAAGGGGCCAATGAGCAGTGTGATGGAAGATGGGAGAGGTACAGTTAATGAAGCAGTTTCACAAGAGGTTAAAGAGGAAAGGAATCAAGGACCAGGTGGAGGGCTTGGTCTTGGTTGGGAGAGGGCAGGTATGGACAGTTGTGGAGGTGATTTAGATGAGAAAAGGCATAGAAACTGGCACAGCTCTCTAATTTCACTGACATAGGCAATTCCTGCATGAAGGAACACCCTTTATCAATTTGGGTTAATCCTTTCTCTGCAACTTAAAAAGTTTTAGCAGCTGCCACGAACAAAGTGACTTGTCCTGGGCCACACAGCCCATGTGACAGAGGTGAGACCAGGTCTTCCCGGTTCCAAGGTCAGTTCTCTATTCACTTGATCATACTTCCTTCAATGTAAATTCAAGATATTTAAATCTAATGGATTTGTCTTCTCAGTACTATTGCCAGCCAGATCATTTGCTACAAAGGGACTAGAGTACTTGATAGAAAAAAATAGTTTCACCACCTTTTATGATAAGGAGGTATAAGCAGTCAGTAAGATATGAACAAGAGGTATGCTGAATAGCATGGGTTCTAAACCAGGGGTAAAGACCAAGAATAATTACTGAAATATTCTGACTTTTTCCAGTCATACTTGGTAGAATAAGAACCACAGGTAAGAAAGCAGGTATAATGGTGATTTATCAAGGGTTGGGGACTAACAGTGTAGGACAGGATAACAAAAGTCAAAATGGTTTGAGATTCTAGAACGGGGCCAAGGTTGATCATGACTGGAGTTGACAGGATAGAGGAAACAATAAAGGCAAATCACATGTGTAACTGCAAACTGGTAATACAAAGACTCTGTCAATATTTAATGTAAACGTCTAATTTATTTTTAATAAGTTCCAAACACTGTGTGCAACAAATCCCTCTGAACTTTACTACCTCCTCTAGGTCCTGTATGTTCTACTATTAATAGCTTTTTATATTCTACTAGATTATAATCTGTTAGAGGCCAGGATCTTTTTAGTTACGTATCATCTATCACAAGGCTTCAAGTAGCAAACATCAATGTTGAATGAACTATAATGAAAAAAATATTCCTATAAGTTAGCTCTCATTATTAGTACAATAAACTGAACAGGTGATTACCTGGGTCCCTACCGTCAATCTAACCCACAGTCGTCGTCCCGCCCCCCCCAAAATAAAACAAACCAACAACTTTGCAAGAAAACTTGATATTCCTATTCTGTCGGCTGCTTTTGGACTTCCACGATGGGTAAGGAAACACAGATATCTGTGTAATGAAAACAACTTTCCAACTCCTATCCTCAGACACCCTCGGTAACCCCCCCAAGGGTTCTCCTCCACCTTGGATAGAAAGCCAGCAGGACAAGAAGGTCCATTACATCCCGAGGCAGTCTCTAATTGCTTCTCTCCCCCTCGGCAGCTTCCACCTGCAGCCCCCAGGACCCAACGCGTCAATCCCCTTTTGCACAAGACAATCTTCCACAATTGCTGGGCTCGGATACCTCGACCTCCCCCCGGGCCCCTCCCCCCGTCTTCGCTTCTCCAGACTAACTCCTCTGTCTTTTCGACCGTATGGCTTTTTTTTTTTCCTCCCTTATCTGTCTCCATCGCTTCAAGCTGCTTTCCTGAAAAAAGGCAAGGTCCAGGAGAAGGTCTTTGGCGAGGGCTGGAGAACGAATATCTAGCGCAAACTCTGAAGCCTCCAGAGGCTCTGATGGAAGTCAAACACAGTAACTGACACCAATCCGAGGTGGGGGGAAGGGCTGTCTGAAACTCAACTTCCGGCGCTCGCCGGGTGACGTCACCAAGCGACGCCGACGCCTGCCCCTCTCAAGATGGCGCTGCACCTGGTGCGGAAGGCGCTAGGCTGCTGCAGGTTCATTCGGGAATTTCATGGCGGAACCGTTGCGGATTCCGTCCCCCAGGTAACCAAAAGAAGCCCCTCCTCCACCAGTCGCCGCTGCCACGGCCCCTCCCGCCCCTGGACGACTCTTCTCAGTTCCTTCTACCTCGCTTTTTCTGTGGGAAAGAGAGGCAATGGTGACAGCGCGGCTCTCCGCGGTGCTGTAACCTTCATTCTGGAAGAGTTGCCTTTGACCCGGTGCGTGGTGACGTTACGTGACGGGTGGACGTTTAGACCGCGCTTGCTTGAGACTACTGCGCCGAAGCCATTCACGTGATCATAGTTCTCACCTCTTCTCTTACTTCCGCTTGAGTAGTAGGCAGCTGTGAGCCTCTAGCGCCAAACCTTTGCCTTCTCTTCCTTTTGGCGCTTCCGGGCACGGTTTCTTCAGTTCTTGGAACCCGAGAACTAGCGCTGGGAGGGACCTTAGAGGTCATCTAGGCCAGACTCCACATTTTGTGCGTGAGGAAACTGAGGCCCAGAGAAATTAAGTGATTTTTCCCAGGATCACACGGTTAGCTAGTAAGTGACCCAGGATGGATTGGAATCCAGATCCAGCACTCGTTGTACTTTACCACTGCAGCCTTATTCCTGAATCAGGGTAGATCTTTACTATAGTTGTATCTTCCCCTCTCCCAAATGGGAGGCCCAGTTTCATCTCCCAGAAAACACATTTATTGGTTCATAAGGTTAGAACTGGAATGGATTTTGGATGTCGCTTGCTGTAAATTCTTTCTTTTACAGAAAAAAGAAACAGGCCAACAGGCTTGTCTACGATTATGCAGCACGTGGTAGAGCCTAGATTTGAACCTATGCCTTCAGATTCCAAATCCAGCAGATTTCCCACCGTACCAGGCTGCTTAAATCTAATAGGTATTTTGGCCTTAGGTGGCATCTCTCCTAGTGGGAAGGTTAAGAGAATGATGGGTTAATAAGATTTTTGTCTGATCAATCTACTCCCAAACTCATCCTTACTGGCACTTGACCCTAAACTCAACTTTTCCTCAGCTGTATCTTTCACCCCACTACAATGCTGCATCCAGGGGGCTCCATGATAGAAATTAAGTAGCCAGGTGTTGTCTTCTCCTTGGTTTGAGATGTTGGAATCATGAATGGGAAGTGTTCAAAGTCCAGAGCAGTGGTCATCATACTCTTTTCAATACCTAAGATTTATGATTTGAGCTTTATGAGAACTCTACACTGAGGCAAATTGAAGTTTCTCTAATAGCTAATTAGTAGCCAGTCACCAGTTGCTGTGGGCCAAACTTTACCGCTTGGTGGCTAACCTGGTGAAGAGTCTACACTTAGCCAGGTTGATTCTTGAACAATGGCTGTCCATGTTTAAAGGAACTGCTTAACAGAATCTTGCTATGGGAACTTGGCAAGTTATCTCCATGCTATAATGAAATATTGAAGTAGAACTTAGCTGGAGGGGCAGTAATGATGAATTAAGGCAAGTAAAGTCAATAAACATTATTAAGCACCAGGCCTTGTAGTGAGTGCTGGGAAGATAAATACAAACCGAAGAAAGACAGTCTCTGCCCTCAAAGGGTTTATGTTCTAAGGGAGGTGGGTTGGGGAAGAGAAATACAACATACAAAAAGAAACTAAAAGCTTTGTGGTGTGGGGCAGAGGTAAGGGTACCAGAAATAGGACTTGGTTGAATCAGGAGTGTAGCCTGGAGAGGAATGAAGATACGGCTGACCTGGGCAATCTTTTTAAAACAGAAGTTCTGGGAGGAAGCAGCCAATAAGTGGGAGAGGGCTCAGGAGTGGAGTGTGCTTCTATTGTGAGAAGTCTGGGGCTAGACTGAGTTTCCAGGCTGAAGAGGTTTCTTTTGTATGGTAGAGAAAGTCTGAGAAGTTAGGAGATCAGCCTGAAGAGGTAAAGAAAACTGTCTCTGCAGAATCCATGTTTTATGAGAACCTGAAAAAAAATTTTGAGTTTTGCATTTTTATCAGACTGAGAGAATGAGGTCAGATAGTCATGTCAGGATTAATTTAGCATCATTTCACATTAGTTGGGATGCTTTGATGCTGAGACCAGGAATACATGGGGAAGATATAGGGTGGAACTGAAATTCCTTGGAGGTTAGGGAGTGGCTGATGGCAGCAGTAGAAAGACAAGAGGGGCTGCCAGCATAGCATCTCAGCACTACAGTCCCTGTAGAGATTGAGTGGAGTAGAAAATTAGCTGAGGACAGGGATACAACTCTGAATTATCCTTAGAATGTTAGAATATTATTATAGCATTTTCACCTTGACTGATCAAAAGTTCATTAATGACACACCATATTGGTAAACTGTAGGACATTGATCTTATAACTCTGCTTTTATTCTAGATTCTTTCTTTTATCTCAGAAGTTTTAGCTGACAAAATAGAATATAGGCCTGTAATTTTTAATCTTTGGTAATATTATGAGAAGCAAGAAACGATTATATTTCCATATAAGGAAATTGAAAGGAAAGTAGCTCTGGATCAGGAGTTTCAAGAACCAGCTAAAATTGGGTGAAACTGGTTGTTTGATTAAAGAGGCTAGAAGGAGGACAAAGGTTAAGCTTTACTTAGAGGGTGCATGCTTGAAATTTACCTAGGGGAATATGGGGTGGGCGTTTTGGGAAGTCTGTGACCTGTGATAACTTCTACCTATGAAAGTCATCTAGGAGGAACCTGAGGCCCGGGATAGGGATATAAGGTTTGTTCTTGCTTGGGTAAGGTGTATGTGCTCTTCTTGAGTTCCACACTTGCTTGCTGGGGGAAGTGTATTAAGGGTTTCACTACTTCACTCATCCTGTGTCTGTCTAACTTAATGTGCCTATTTGGGCATCAGAGGTTATTTCCAACAGTTCCTTGCCACATAATAATACATAATAACAATAGTTAAAATTTACATAGATATTAAAGGTGCTATAGGTTTACAAAAGCACTTTACATATGTTATTTGATCCTCACAACAGCCTTGGAAGTTAGGTGCTATTATTATCCCAATTTACAGATGAGGAAGGTTAAGTGTCTTGCTCAGGGTCACACTGCTAGTAAATGTCTGAGTTCAGATTTGAACTCAGGTCTTTCTGATTCCAGGCCCAGCACTCTATCCACTACATTACCTAGCTGCCACATTTAATAGTAGGCACTTAAATCTTTTTTGAATAAATGAATGGAAATATCAGTGAAATAAGAAGCAAAGATCCTATAACACATGTTGGCAAAGTACATCTGACTGGTATGAAAAATTTTACTGAAAATAAACACTAAAGAAATGACATCATCATCTTCTACTGTGGCTTCTGTCACATTCATACCTAAACAGCAGAACTGTTCAGGTTTAGTGTCTGGTAATCTGGTTTGCTCTAAGGACTAGTGTAATTACACAGAGAGAATTCTCATAGTCCACATAAAAATTTGGTTAAAGTTGAGATGAGTTTTTAGGGAAATTCGAATTTCAGTAGTGCTTCCATATAATGAAATTTTTTTTCAGCGATAAGATAGTGAATCCAAACTTTTTATTTAAATTTGAGAGCTGTAAAAATTAAATGAGATGGTATATTTGAAAGCTGTTTTGAATGAATTGTCACATAAATGTTAGGCAGTATTATTGTCTCTGGGAACTTTCTAGATATCTGAGAGACATGTTTGTCAAATGGTGTTCTTGTTAAAATGATCTTAGAAAAGGACCAGTAAAAATTTATGGCCACTTTTCCTGTATGTGTCTTCCTCTTCTTTTGAGAAGTTTCCTTTGAAAAGCTCCATGAACAGATGCGGAGATATGTGAAGGGAAAATTGGGTCCTTAAAACTGATGCATTAGACATATTTATTATATCTCATAACATGTATAGAAAGTGAAAAATGTTTTGTTTGAGCTGAGAACAATGGAAAAAAATTCACATTTTAGCATTAGCTTTAGGAAGGCACAAAGAAAAGAGTTGTTTACCATGAAATTATGATTAATTAATCCTTCCCATAAGTGAGGGTATTCTTACAGACGAACAAAAATAAAGGGATCCTAGCTTTATTTGTACTTGTAAATAACTGTACATACTAAAACATGATTTTTAAAGATAATTTACAAGTGGCTTTACTAATGGGAGATCATATAGTTAGAAATACAATGTGGCAAAAGAAAAATAATTGTTACTGAGCTTGTATTGTTGAAGCTCAGTATTCCAGTACTTGAAGGCTACATGTGGAGTTGCATCACACAATTTTTGGTAAAAATACAATAGTTAGAAATAGATAAGAACAGGCATAGATTTACCAAGTTATGGAATATATGCTAGCTAGAAAAATGATTTCTTTTTTCAAGGTGTCGCCCAACAAAAAACAGTTGGGGAGAAAATGGTTAGAAAACCAAAGGAGTAAATGTGCTTCATGGGGATAGGGAATAGGGACTGGGCCTGTTTTCACTGGTCTAAGGGACCATATGCCAGGGTAAGAAACTCTTTACCAGTGAGGTTTAGCACACTTTCTGCAACTTCTATTCGTAAGGAATTGCTGAGATCACTGAGAGGTTAACTGTCAGCACTGGGTCTTGAACTTAGATCTTCAAAGCTGTCTTCCTATCCACTAAGCCATGTTGCCTCTTAGATTTTGGAAATATATCTAATAAATAGTCTACCAAGCTAAGTGCAGAGGGGCTTATATCTAGTAGCTTGATCACCAGGTAATGAGTTATTTGGATATGATGCTCCATGAAATAAAATGCCTCAGTCCTTCTTGCTTCTGCAGTGACAGTGGTCTAAACGGGGACCAAGGGTCATTGACAGAGATGCATAGTTGTTGAGATCTTGATTTAGTAACTGAAAGAACTGAACCACGTGCATGTTGACAATCTATAAATGAAATCAGAAAACAAAGCTAATTGCAAGACTGGCTAATAAGTAAACCTAAAAGAGGTAAATAAAGAAATTGGAGGAGTGTTCCTTGTGGACTGGATGCAAAGGCCTGATGATAAGAAATTTGGTGGCATCTAAATTCGTTGAATCCCTAGACAAAGAGGGGTGTCTTGTTGCTGGATATTAAAT